AATAAACAGAGTTGGAAGGGATCTTGGAGGTCTTCTAGTCCAACCCCCTGCGGAGGCAGGAAACCCTATACCATTTCAGACAAATGGCTGTCCAGTCTCTTCTTAAAAACGTCCAGTGTTCGAGCATTCACCGTTTCTGGAGGCAGGCTGTTCCACTGGTTAATTGTTCTGTCAGGAAGTTTCTCCTTATTTCTAAGTTTGCTTCTCTCATTGATGAGTTTCCATCCGTTGCTTCTTGTCCTGCCTTCAGGCGCTTTGGAGAATAGCTTGACTGCCTCTTCTTTGGGGCAGCCCCTGAGATACTGGAACGCTGCTATCATGTCCCCCCTCGTCCTTCTCTTCATTAAACAAGACCTACCCAATTCCAGCAGCCGTTCCTTATATGTTTTAGCCTCCAGTCCCCTGATCATCTTTGTTGCTCTTCTCTGTACTCTTTCTAGAGTCTCAGCATCTTTTTTACATCGCAGTGACCAAAACTGGATGCCGCATTGCAAGTGTGGCCTTACCAAGGCCTTGTAAAGTGGTATTAACACTTTGCGTGACCCCGATTCTATCCCTCTGTTGATGCAACTCTGTTAATGCTGCTGTTGCACACAGCTCTATTCTATTCTGATATTCTGAAGTCCTTTTTTTTCAGGACCGTTGTAACTCCGAACGGTCGCAAATGGTTATAAATCGAGGACTGCCTGCATTCCAGACCGTCCCCCCCCTCCAAAGGGCCCTTTGAAAAAAGTCAAAAAAAAAAAAAAGAGAGCTGGGGGTTTAATAATCCCCCTCGCCGTAATTATCACTCCGAGGGGCCAAGGTATATACATATTTTATTTTTTAAAAAGTTTACAGTTTCTTTAATTATACACAACTATTCTGAGAGGTTATAATCCTTAGAAGAGGCATTCGCCACAGGGGGGGGTTGTCTGCCCACCCACTACCATCCACGCCACCGCCAGCCACATCATCGCAATGCCAAAAAGAGAGGAGGGGGGGAAGCTGGCTGGGGCAGCCAAGAGGTGGGCCGGACTTCCCGTTTGACCTCTTCAAGTATTCACACGTTGTACCAAATACACTCCGGGAAATTAAGCAAAAACTAAATGAAAATGAAAAAAAAACCCAACGCTGGCGATTTCTAAACGGGGCCCCCCAATCCCCGCTTCGAGTTCCAGATCAACACGCAAGAAGGCGACGTTCTAGATCCCAAACCCAGAACGGTGCACGCTGCATTGATCGCCCCTCGTTCCAAATCCGAGCTGGGAGACCCCAGCCTCGCCCAAAAGCTGACATAGTTCCCACCCGTCTCCTTCCCGCGCCAAAAAGACCCCAATCAACCAAGCAAGAGAACTTTAACTGAAGTTCTCAGGAGTTTTACGTCCGTGCTGACCCCCCCCATCTCTGCTCCGGACCCACTAAATAAATAAATTTGAAAAAAAGAAAAATCTGAATTAAGGGGACAAGGGCGGGATTGTCAGGGTGACGTGGAGGCACTGCAGCCTCGCTTCCGTACACGGCTTAAGATACGTCCAGGGCGGCTTAAGAAGGCCGCTCAACGGATGGATCGGGGAGATGGTGAAGAGATGGAAGAAAGTTAGGTGGCTTCAAAAGTCCCCCTCCAGAAGAGGGATCTAGATTGCTAATCGAAAAGGACGGGGTGGGAAGCGGACGGCCCAGCGCTCAAGAGGGATTCGCTCGGCCGCAATTAACTCTGGATTGTCATCTCCACAGGCCGTCTGAAGAGGGCCATCAGCTCCACCAGTGGTGGTTGGTGGTTTGGTGTCACCAACTGAAGACCGTTGGCCAAACGGCGACGAGTGGAGATTGAACAAGCCAGGGAAAGGAGGAGATGGCATCAACCTACGTTAAGGTCAAGGATGGAAAGGAGACCGAGTTGGAACCTGCTTCATTTAGCTCAAAGCTTTTGAGGTGGTTCAACAAGTATCTCTTCCAAGCTTGATCTCGCCAACATTTGGCCCACCATGATCGCTAGGTCAAGTCAACACTAGGTCTAGTCAACGCCAGGCCAAGGAACACCATAAATGTTTGCAGCGGGCTGTGTGATGCGTGTGTGTGTGTGCCTGTTGAAACCTACGTTCAAGAACTAATTTCACCTTCAACCATCATCTCAGCCATGAACGTTCAAGAGATGAGATACCCCCACCCCAAAAAAGGACCTTCGCGAATCGAAAGAGTTGGGCCGGGCCAATTTCAGGGGCCAGAATTGGGTGCCGACGTGGGTCATCTTTGTTAAGTTTTCCCTCCTTAATTAAAGCCAGCATTGTGGCTTTGCTGGACGGGAAGGGGCGGGAAGGGGGGAAGAGAAAAAAAAAAGGGATGTTAATTTATGAGCGGTCAACAATCTCAAAATATCAGAATTCAGACTTTATTGTTTCCAAAAAAAAAAAAAGATTACCTCCGTAAAGGGAATTAGAACACTAGCGTATTAATATATCTATCTATCTATATATATGTACAATCATGGGGAGAAGAATGGTTTATTTCGCTCAAAGTGGCACTCCTATCATGATAGATAGCTTGGCACTCAAAAAAATCTAGACCTCACAGCGCCTAGAGATCATTGCACAGGTCGACCAATTAGCAGCACAGTTAAGGCAGACCGAGCCCATCGTGCACTCCTCCCTGCCGGCTGGGGAGGATGGGGATGGGGTGGCAAATGCAGGACACCAGGTTAGGGATAGGTAATCTTAAATCAGTGTGTCTCCATTTTAGCCACTTTTAAGATGGGAGGACTTCAACTCCCAGAATTCCCCAGCCAGCAGAGCTGGCTGGGGAATTCTGGGAGTTGAAGTCCACCCATCTTAAAGTGGCCAAAATTGAGACATACTGATTGAAAAGGTCCATCTTATCTTCCATCAAGACCCAGAGTGACAAAACGGGGTGGGGGGTGGGGGTCCCCTATTCCAGAATCACTTCAGCTGCTCACCACAACGCAATTTCACTGCTTGTTCCCCCTCCCCAACGTTTTCCAGGCCCCCCCAAAAAAAAATGGAGAATGACTATGAATAATTTTTGTGGGGGGCTTTCCCCCCTCACCCCCATTTTATGCCCAAGATGAGATAAGCTCTTGCTTTATTCCAAGAAAACAATCGTGCCAATTAAGGTCTACTTGACAGGTCTTTTCCACACGGGGAAGAAAAGCAAGCAAAGCAAAGGGGTGGCGGTTGAAGATCGGACTCGTTCCGTCAGCCCCCCCTCAAAACACACACACACACACATACGCGCACACACACACACAAAACTCTCCAACTTCAAACCCCCCAATGGCATTTAAGAAGGATCGGGTGGGAAGGGAAGGACACAAATTCTCTTGACAGTCAACGTTCCTTCTTGATTCACCCAAGTTCTGATGATGATTACTAGAAGATACACCCAACTTTCCCGAGCCCTCTACTCAACATCCTGTCCCCCAAAGCTCTAGAAATCCAGGGTGCAAGCTCCATCTCAAGGGACCTCCTTGCTATCCACCCTAGTCAACCGCCATCATCTCTGGTCTGAGGCTCTTTCCCCCCGTTGGAGGGAAGGGCGGTATGGAGCCATCGGGAATTCGGCTAGCCAAGGAAAGAAGTAATTTGGAGTCTCCTAAACACCACCTTTGACATCAATTGCCCCCCTTCTTTAGAAGGAGCACCGCGTCCCGCCAATCGTGGTGGGACTCTCTCAGAACATCTGGCCAGCTCAGGCGAGCAACGGCAAAACGGACAGCAGAAAGAATGGCAAGTGCTGTCAAGGGACGGGGTGAGGTGGTGAGGAGGAGATTTACTAACCAAGTACCAGAACATCCTTTTTTTCACAGGCTCGGTCGAATCCACCTGGCCAGAAAGCTCTTCCAGGTGTAGACGTTCACCTGGGCGGCCTTTGCAGAATTATCAAGAGGACGAGAATGAGAAATGGGTGTGTGTAGAATCTCTGCTGCTGGTGGTTTGGACAAGAGGACCAGGATGGATTGGGTTCAAGGTACTTTGAGTTAGCGACCACCTCACCACCCCCTTGGACAGGACTGTCTCGCTTCCTCGTCCCTCGAGAAAAAAAAAAAACCAAGACGACTACATATGACTTTCACATCTTTCCACCCCCTACTCCCCAGCCCGGGCCGACATAAAAGACCATCATCACCATCACCTCCATCACCAGTCTAAGCAGACAGGAAGTCCGTCGGGAAAAATTTAAAAAAATAATAATAATAATAGCATACTATACTCAGGATCACAGCTGCTTCGTAAAAAAAAAAAAACGGGCACGTCAAGAACTCCATGCATTCAGTTGGTGGATCTTGTTGGGTGTTTTTAAAAAAAAGAAAGACCAAAAAAAGAAAGAATGAAAAAAAAAAGGTGAACTCCATCGAAAAAAAGGGGTTAATAAAAGCAGCCAGGTTGAAACGAAGGAACACCGTTGACATCACGGCCTTATTATACTTTCCGTCGATTAAATCTCGCGCGCACGGGCACACCCCCGTCACCCCCCCACCCAAAAATTTTTTCTCTTTTACATTCTCAAATTGCTGTTCCGCATTTGCATCCGTGGGCGTCTGCTTGTCTTTGGAACGCTCGACTTAAAAAGTAAAGAAAGGAAGGAAGGGGGGAAGAAAAAAACAACGGAGGGAAATTTTTTAAAAAAAAGAAAGAAAAAAAAAGGGGGGGGGCATTATCCAGATTCTCTCCCGAGCAAAGCAGCAGGTTCCGGGGGAGATGGGGAGGGGGGATTTGAACTCAGCTGAAATGGAATTACGAAGAGATGCAAGCATGCGCCCGGGGTTCATATTGCTACCAAGTGGAATGTCGGAAACGCACCGCAATGCATGTTTTGGGGGGGCTCTTTGAGAAATGACCAAAAAAGAACCGAAAAACGGAAAAAAAAAATAATCAAGATCTAAAGGGTGGATATATATATATATATATAATATGTGTGTATACATATATATATATATACCTCTGAATGCTATTATTCATAAAAACCTTGTTTAGTAATAAAAAATTGCTTTGTTTAAATATGAATATTATAGTCTGCTTCTCAGCGCATGGTCAGGAAGTCAAGTCTCTCCGAAAAGCAGGACGCTGCTTCTACTACAATTCCATATCTTGGGCCTCGTCCTCGGAAAAGTCAGACATGGAACTTTCCGAAGAGCTGTCGCCGGTCCCTTCTTCCTGCTCTTTCAGGGCCTCCTCTGTTGCATATTTCTGAATGTATTCTGGAGGGAGGGAAAGACAGAGGGAACAATCAACTCCAACGATCCAAGATCAAAAATCCATCCATCCATCCCTCCCTCTCTCTCTCTCTCTCTCTCTCTCTCTATATATATATATATATATATATATCATCTCTATATCTATCATCTAATTATCTGTAATCTATTATCTATCTCACTATTTATCATCTATCTATCTACTCTCTAATTATCTATCATCTATCATCTCTCTCTAATTATCTGTCTACCTAATCTATTATCTATCTCACTATCTCACTATCTCTCTATCTATCTATCTATCTATCTATCTATCTATCTTCTAATTATCTATCTTACTCTCTAATTATCTATCTATCTATATCTCTTTAATTATCTATCTATCTAATCTATTATCTATCTCACTATTTATCATCTATCTATCTATCTATCTATCTATCTATCTATCTATCTATCTAATCTATCTATCTAATCTATCTATCTATCTATCTATCATCTATCTATCTATCTACTCTCTCTATCATATCTCTCTATCATCTCTAATTACCTATCTGTCTATCTATCTAATTATTATCTCTCACTATCTATCTATCTATCTATCTATCTATCTATCTATCTATCTATCTATCTATCTATCTATCTTACTCTCTCTAATTATCATATCTATCATCTCTCTAATTATCTATCTATCTAATTATTATCTCTCACTATCTATCTATCTATCTATCTATCTATCTATCTATCTATCTATCTATCTATCTATCTATCTATCATCTATCATTCTCTCTATCTATCTATCTATCTATCTACTCTCTCTAATTATATCTCTTTATCATCTCTCTCTAATTATCTGTCTATCTATCTAATCTATTATCTATCTTACTATTTATCATGTCTGTCTGTCCGGTCCGGTCCGGTCCGGTCCGGTCCGTCCGTCCGTCCGTCCGTCCATCCATCCATCCATCCATCTATCTATCTATCTATCTATCTATCATCCAGTCGGAGCCGAAGAAGCTTCTTGGATGAGAAGCGAAACGTCTTCAAAGAAAAGTAAGGAAGTCCAATTGCCTCATAAAAAAGCACCTTTGGGACTCTCTCTCTCTCTCTCTCTCTCTCTCTCTCCCATCTATCATCTCTCTCTCTCTCTCTCTCTCTCAGATTTATTGGCTGCCAGTCTTACCACAGGGTTAACTCTATGGTCCCCGTTGCTTAGCCCTTACCTTTAATTTTCTGCTTGTATTCTTCTGGTCGGTGAAGGTACATGGCTGCGGCGTCACCATTAAGGGGGTCTATGGGGTTGGGATAGGCCAGCAACTGGGGCAGGAACGACTCAAATATATTGGTAAGATCTGAAAGGATCAACACAAAATGAAGCTTTAGGTTTTAACCATTAGGAGGGTTTTGATGTTGCGGAAAGGGCTTGAAACGTTTAGAAATGTAAAGCGGAGGCGGTAATTTTTTAAATATTTTACTGCCCTGAAAAAAACTGGAAGTCACTACTTTCTTTCTTTTCTTTTTTTAACCTCTTTTGGCTTCTCCGGTGCATTTTACAAACCATCCCAATTTCTTGGGTTTTGGGGATTTATTTTTTTTTAAGGAAAACAAAGAAACAAACGCAACTCACCGTAGAGAGCTGTCCAAGTCTGATTAATTACATCTAGACATACGGTTCCTGACCTGGAAAAAGCAAACAAAAAATAGTTTGGGACAATTCAACAAGAGTTTAACAAGAGTTCAATTCTGCTCGTGCCACGTGGGCATTAAGTGCAGCAGCTGGCCTGATAGATTAGATAACCTTTATTGTGGTTTTTCCCCCCCCCCTGTGGGCACAACGGCACACATGAAAAATGAAATTTAGTGGCTAGCTCTCCAAATGTACACTTACATAGCACACGTTTAAAACATGCTCTGTACAACGTTATGTGTAGACCTACACCCTTAAGTACGTAACATGTAAATATTAATCACTGTCCATCTTGAAAACATAATGGAAGGAGGAAGCCTCCCCAGCAGCCTTGACGATCTCTATGGCCTTTCCAGCGGCCTTTCCAGCGGCCTTGGCCGGGCAAGGGCCTGGGTTTGGGCCTGGACTTGGACTCGGCCCGCCCCGGCCTAGAGGATATCTCGCGGCCTGTTTGTGTCTCCGTTTGGCCTGGTTCTGAAAGATCTAAGGGGACTAAACATCACCCCTCCCTCTATGCCACGGACTCCCTTGTTCGGACTATGTACACGAAGACGGCCCTGCTGGCCCTGCGCGATTCACCCCTCGCGCAGACCTGGCCCAGGAACATCTCGGGG